ACTAAGATTACGACTACTACCACTTCTACTAGTACTACTACTACTACTTTTAGTGCTACTACTATAAATACGACTACTACTACTATTACTACTACTACGACTACGGCTACGACTACTAGTACTAGTACTACTACTCCTACTACTGCTACTCCTACTACTACTGCTACTACTAATACTACTTCGGCTACCACTACTACTACTACTACCTCTACTACTACTACTATTACTACTACTACTACTACTACTACTACTATTACTACTACTACCACTTCTACTACTGCTGCTGCTGCTGCTACTACTACTACTACTACTTACTACTTCTACTACTACTACTACTACAACTACTATTACTACTACTTTTACTACTACTACTTCCACTACTGCTACTACTACTACTACTACTACTACTACTATTACTACGGCTACTACTACTACTGCCACCACTACTACTACTACTACTACTATTACTACTACTACTACTACTACTACTACTACTACTACTACTGCTACTACTACTACTTCTACTTCTACTTATACTTATACTTATACTTCTACTTCTACTTCTACTACTACAACAATCACAAGCTACGACTACTGCTACGACTACGACTTGTACTTCCACCAATCGGTGAAGCCCGGCGCGTCCAGGCTGAACGCCCCGCCCGTCCTCGTTCACGACCGAACGCCCCGCCCGTCCAGGCGTCCAGGTCCACGCCCGTCGGCTCCACGGTGCGCGCTTCCATATAGGAATCCTATAGAATCCGAGGGAAGAGCCCGATGGACCTCGTTAGGCATCCAATGTGAAGCCTTTGGAAACCTAAGGGCACATTATGGAGTTACTTTGGAATCCGATGGAAGTCCTATGGAATTCCTTGGGAGTCCTTTGGAATTCCTGGGGGATCGTTGAGGAACCCGATGAGATCCCGCAGTAATCCGATGGACATCCAATTGGATGCCCGAGGAGTCCGTTAAACATCCTGAGGAACTCTTTTCTGGAATCCCGTTGACATCATATGGAATTTCGGAGGAATCTGATGGAGAGAGATCCATTGGGATCCCTCGGGGATCTAATGGACACACAGAAGAATTCCGAGGACTTCTCGCCCAGATCGAACGCCCCGCCCGTTCGGATCCACGCCCGTCGGCTCCACGGTGCGCGCTTGCAGAGAGGAGTCCTCCGGAATCTTAAGGAACCCTCAGGACTTCCTTGGGGATCCTAAGGGATCCGATGGAACCATGTGGACATCCGAGTGAATCCCTAGGAATTCTCGAACAGAACAAGCGCCCCGCCCGTCTGGGTCCACGCCCATCGGCTCCACGGCACGCTTCGCCCAGGTGGAATCATAGATAATCATAGGGAACCCAATGGAAAACCTGAGGGGTCCTGTAACATTCCAAGGACCCAAATGAAACTCCAATGGGTTTATGGAGGAGCCCGATGACGATCACGTGGAATTATTGAGTAATCCGATGGGGTTCTTCCGGAACCTTGCGGGATCCTACACAAGTCCTTGGACATCCGATGACAATCATACGGGGCTCCTTCAGTACCCCATGAAACTGTGATGGAAATGCTTGGCGATGTGATGAACATCTCATGTAATTTCTTAGGGGTCCGACGGACATCCCACAGACATCCGAATATTCTTCGCACAGAACAGACAGACGTCCCGCCCGTCCGGGTACACGCACATCGGCTCCACGGTGCGCGCTTCCATATAGGAGTTCTGTTTGGAACCGGACGGAAAGTTGAGGGATTCCTCCCGAACCCTACGGAATTCGGAAGGTTCCCAAGGATTCATAGGAAACGCCAAATGAGTTCCTACGATTCTTCGTTCAGAACGAACGCCCCGCCCGTCCTTGCCGCCCTCGCCCATCGGTTCCACGGTGCGCGCTTCTATGGAATGTAATCCTAAGGGACCCGAAGGAACGCTAAAACATTCTTTCGGAATCCATTGGAATTTCTTCGGCACCCTATGGGAACCGTAATGAATTTCGGAGGCTTGCGCAGAGCGAGCGTCCCGCCCGTCCAGGTCAACGTCCATCGGCTGCGCGGTGCGCGCTTCCATATAGGAATCCTAGGACATCCTAAATAAGGAACCCGAAGAAATTCTGTAGACATCCGATGGGGTCCCCTGGGGATCTCATTCGATTCCTTGGGAATGCTGGCTGGCATCCGACTTCTCTCCCCACAACATCAGCACTACTATTCCCATGCTCGTTGCCACCCCCCTCTTCATCACCCACATATTGGTCATCATTTTGATCGCCATGATCGTCGTCCTGTCCGTCATCCTGTTATCGTCATTACCTTCGTCGCCATCATTCAACACGACGTGTCCAGACGGGCAGGGCGTTCGCTTCCATCGTTGCGGCTTCCACAGAGGGCCAACTCAAAGCCAAAACCAAACGCCAAACTCTTCAGGCAAATGTGGGCATCCGGGTGCAACATGGACCTGGTCGTAAACGACATATGGAGAAGGAACTAAACAACACGATA